TAAATGGGTAAGCAGGTGGAAGGAGAAGGGACGGGGCGTAGTGACACCTTCCCTCGAAGGGGTAGTCGTACCTCACCACCATTTCGCCCATCACAATGCTGTACCCTGCGTATAAGTTTCACGTCAGAAGGTGGTAACGTAGCGGCGGTAATGCCCGAGTTTGCTCAAGTGGCTCTGCCCAAGTTGATAGATGTCTTTCCTACTCTCTCCTTCGTTTGCATGCTCTCTCGCTGCTTCCTCTGTCCTCTCGCCCGATATCCACGGATCCTTCATGTCTCGCTTGGCACAGGTAGAGCCCCTTATAGCGTTCTTAACAATTCCCCTCTCCCTCTTGACGGGCAACTCTACAAGCACATACTGTTCAGTTCCGAACCCTGCTATCAACGAACCCCTAGCGGATTCTGCCTCCAAGGATCATTGTACTCCCCACTTTTTGGGGCAAAAGCCACTGTTTTTCAAGACCACGCCCAGGCGGCAACGCGCGAAATTTCCTTGTTATCAGGTAAATGGGATAGTTGCTCTGTTATGGTTTCTCATCAGCTTCTGGCCGCTTTCAGGGGAGGGGGAGGGGGAGGCGTTGGTTGTTTCTAAACGGGATTCGAACAGCGAACTGTGCGAGCGACAGCGGCACCTTTTACCACTAGACAATTCCAAAATCTTAGAGCGACAGTTTCCAGATGATAAAATCTTCAGAGATTCATAAACAGACCCACGCGTTTTTATCGACAACCACCGCTTAGCACGGCGTAGACAAGGCTGACTAGGCCGATAGAGGAAGGCCAAGGGTGGATTAGCAGGGTCAGACTGGTAGTACTATTGTTAGAGCCAAATGCTCCAAATGCTTGAAAGTGCAAGGCATGATAAACTGGTATTGCTCAAAAATAGTAGCAGGGGTGCTATATAGCGGGAAAATGTGGAAAAAGCAGAGTTGAACGCCTAAAAACCTGCCAAGAAATTGGCTTTTTTATCGCGTGTTGCACCATGTGGTTAGGACGGCTTATAACGGATCCTTGTGGAAAAAGGGGCACCTAGGCAAACTGCTTCAAAGGGCAGAAACGTCCGCGGATTGATTCGCGCCATCTCAGATGGTGGATTATGGGTTCCATATAGACGACAAGGGGTTGAGTAACTCGACTGTAAACAAAAAAAGCACAAAAAAATATGCCACCTGCCGCTAGATAAAATCCATTTCGATCACCAGTTTGCAGTGCCGCAATCAAACTCCTATCTGTCCAAAAACTACGCCCTCATATGCACAGCTGATTCACCAATAAGATTTCTACGATCGTACATGTGCCGATTATCATGTTTTTTCGTCTTGCAATCTCATTTTTTTCAACCTGAAAGTCGGTCCATTAGGAAGAGAGTCGGGAAGGCTGAGTCAGCTGGAAAAATGGAGGAGGCTACTTAACCTATATTTTGCGGCTACAGCGCCCCAGCCCCATAGCATTTTTTGCTGCGCAAAAAACCGGTGTAAGGTTGTTTCGTGTCCGGCGGACCAAAAACAAACCTCCTGTGACGGCCAATTATTTTCAACTTCGATACCTGATTCGCGGACCCGTAGCCTTTGAGGCACAAAATTCCTTTTAGTGCAGGCCGCAACGACGCTCCTACGCCTTGGCCGATTCCATCATGGGCGCAGCTTCTCTTCAGGAGGGCTAACCCTGAGAGGCCCGAGGATATCAGAAGGTGCATCAAAGGTCCATTAAAAAAAAGGCGCGCTACACCGCATCACTTGCTTTTTTATGCTGCGCCGTAAGATAGAAAATGCAGGCTCTCGGAACGATAAGAACGGTACCTTTCGAGAAATTCAGGAGTTATGACTGCTCCAGCCAACGTTCCATTTGCCTTCATTTCTTCTTGTGAGGAGATCGAAGAACCCGATGGAATTCTAGAAAGTTTCGTAGATTGAAGAATTCTTTTCCAGAAGCGCACTTGCAAGATCACGCAGAAGAATTTTAATGAAACAAAACCCACTTTCTGTGCGTTTTGGGACTGTCTGTATTACCATTCGCTTTTACTGGTTCCCATTTACGCGGTACATTCCCTGTGTTTTTGCGGCTGCAAAGCCGTTGACTGGGTGGAATCTAGTACCAATCCGCTATCCGATGAACTAAAAACGAAAATCTGGCTACTACGGTGGTGTGAGTGGTGCGACTCCAAAATTACCATGCTAACCGTTGCTGGCATTGGATTTGGAGTCGGCTGCATCTGCTTTGGCTTGGGTAATTTTCTTCCTGTTGAAGGTTGCGGCTAGTTCCGATAGTAGATCAACGTGAGAGGATCCAGCAACGCTAGGGGCTGAAACCGAAGAGGGATCCGCGATGGAGACTGAACGAACGTCTTTAGCAGCAGTAGTCTTCTTCAGTTGTGCACCTCGAAGCTGGTCCGCAAAACTGAAACAGCTTTGGTGTAACTACTACTTTGATCCTGACGTGATTTCAAGCTGATTACCTTGTTCCTCTAGAAGCATCGCTCTTCAGAAGGTTGGGTGGAGGTGGAGGAGGTGGTGGAGGAGCAGAACTTGCTGGTGGAGGAGGAGGTGGAGCAGGAGGACCAGAGGAAGATGTTGAGATGGGAACCGGTGGAGCCGGAGGAGCTGGAGGAGGACCGGGAGCACTACGAGATGGGCTTGCCGATTGTTGCTGAAAACAGATAGATTAACTACTCCATATTATTTAGCGGTTTCAAAAAACATTCAGGTCCATTCCGCTAATTTCTAGAACAGCATTGTATCACTGACTGAGGCTACTCTACTGACCTGAGAGTAGATATTACATGGTCCGCTGGAAGACGAACTTGAACCTTGAGATGATCGCCTCTGCTGCTGACTAAGCGCGGCATTCCCTTGTACACAATGAGATGACTTTCTGTAAAATCATTGCTGAAGTGAACGAGTTGTTCAACCGTAATGCGTGACTCATAATGCCCTTCATGTTTTCTTACGGATTCATGACTCATGCTAAATGGTACATGGCCTGTACCAACTGATCAGATCTATCTGATAGCATAAACAGATGCCCCTATTGGGATTCCAAAATTAGAATAAACTTCGCGCCAATCGATTCCTTGAAAAAGCATCAGATGTATCCAAAACGACCACATACTGGTCGGTTTCGCTGCAGGAAGAAAAAAAAGAAGAAAAAGAACGAAAACAGTTCTCACATCAGAAAGCGCCAAGTTCTGTTCCTGCTTTCTGTTACCTACGCATCGATAGCTGCTTCACAATCAGGACACGTTGTACGCTGGGGAATACCCAACGAGGGAGTCGTATTCGTTCGCTGGTGGGGAGAGTGGGGGTCGTATTTGCCTCTGTGAGCAAGTTTTTGGTCCATAACTTTTCTCGGTTTTATTTTTAATCATTTCACTTGCACTATTTATTCATCGAAGTTTTTTTTGGAAAAAAGTGAAGAATCACAACGAAAAAACAAACCTAGAAAGGGCTGCGTACTAGGCGCATGGAAGTGTAAGGGAGGAGGGTATTCGTACCTGCCAGAACAGGAACCTATGGGCCTCTACATCGCAAATGTCTTCCCCAACGCGGGACGTGCCCTATTCACATCAGGGTGCCATGGGGACACATAAAAAGATTCCCTGTCTTCTTGAAAACGGGTCCATAGTCAAACTTTAGAGAGCGCATAAGCAACTTGTTACCCATTCATGAGACCGCTTCTCCTCAATATTCGAGCAAGACTTTTTATTGAATTTTAAGCACCTTTCCTACGGTTACTCGGTGCCCTGATTGTACGTCCATTTCCGATGACAGTGCTACCAGAAGCAAAACTGGCGCCACGGCTCTCTTAGTTATAAATTTACACTCAGCATAAACAAGGGCTATGGCCATGACTTTGACGACGACCTTTTTGAGCGTATTATCTGATAAGAACCCTTGATACAGCATCTGCTACGTCTATAACAAACTCAGTGGCCTACTTCCGGGGGCCGCGCAACGTCCTGCGCTATTTCCAACAGAGCCACTTTTTGTATGAACTCCGTGCGATTTATTAATGATTTTCAGAAAGCGCAGCCGCGCATGATTTTCTCGGAGCAAGTCGAAAAAGGACAACCCGCGGTTTCTGTCAACGTTTGCATTGGCCATTCCGTCAACTTTCGCGTTCTGTTTGAGATGATTCATCACACCGAATCATCACCATATCACTTCTTCAGATCTACTGAACAGTGAGCGAACATATTTTTCGAGAAACAGACGATTTGAAGGCTAGAAAGTAGTTCTAAAGAAAAAAGGAATGGAGAAGATTATGATGAGCGAAAACCGAAAGAAATGGGTTCACTGCCTTCGAATAAAGACAAAACAAGTTACACGTCTTCCCTGAACCCAGGTTGCATAGGTTGCCGTCTGCATAATGGGGAAGAGCGCGGCTTTCTTCCTCACGAAACGATGGAGCCGATTGGATATGTGACATCATATGGTGTGGTTCCTGATAGACGTTCTCTGCAATAATACAACAATATTTATCAAGTATGTCCTGTTCCGCGCGAGAAACATGTGATTGCATGGGGTTATTAATACCTTTCAGACCTAAAGTAGCCAAACAACAGTGTTCCATCACTGCATGGCAGCACTTACCGACTTAGGAAACCCGCTGCGAGAATAGCTACAGGCTCTCGAACGCTTAGCCCCGATATGAGGACCGCACGCTATGTCATGCATAAGTCTCTGGACGCACTATAAAAAGCCACTGGCTCTAATCAACTCTTTGGTATCCAATTCCGATTCAGAATCTGTGCTATTCTGCCACTATAATGGACTGCCAGCCGATGTATAAATAAAAGTTTTTAACATTTCATTTGAGCCCGGTACTAAGTAAAACAGCCAGGAAAGATGAAGGCTCACTTGATCTGAGTGGCAGCTGATCAGGGATTGAACTCCTGATCAAGCGCCTGGTAAGCAGCACCATTTGGCTTTACACAACTTTCGTCTCAAAAAGTAAATTATAGGATGCTTCAATGGAAACTAGGAACATACTCAGAGTACGAAATGCTTTTCCCTTTTCTCGAGTGTAGTGCAGCACAACGAGAGCGGTTAACAAGTGGCGCCTCGAACGCTGCATTCGCAGGACCAATTTGACTTAACGCAGCAATAATGCGGTATATAAATTCAACTAGCTACTAGATACTTAGCTGCTTTGCGCAATGCCGCGCCTGTTCTAGCCACTATTTCTTCCACTAAATTCCAAAAAAATTTCATTTTAAGCATTTCATAATCAGAGTACGAAATGCTTTTCCCTTTTCTCTTCTTTACGATGTAAGAAATTATAAAGGATAAAGTATTTGCCATTAATCAATCCCTTTTGGAACTACTTTCGTTCAGAATCGCAGTGGCTTGTTAAATGCGATAAGACCTTTACAACGACGCGGGGGATAGCCGATGTACAAGTCAGCGTTCTTATCCTCCCAGAGAATCTGGAACTATTTACCGTCTCCAGACTCTGAGCCTGGGCGGGATGCTGATCCAGATTTAGTATCATGAGCAATTGCTGTTGGAGTGGCAGTGTAGCACTTGCACTATACACTCCTATAAAAGTACATTGAACTCTATCAGCTATGTGATACCAACATCTGCACAGAGGGTAAATAGTTGCTATCGTTCCCACGTAGCCGAATCTGCGGTAGGAGGTGGTTGAAACGTAGGCTAAGTTTCGAAAAGCGCACATGTATTTCCTCTGTAAGTTCCTTACTAAGTATTCAGTTGGTTCTGTTTTCATTTTGTAATTCTCGTACGAGTCTTAAAAATATCTCAATGAACTACTGAATTGATGCTACAAAATCGGAAACCTTTCGAAGTTACTACATTTACGAGTACTTTCTCTCAATCAAGTAGAAGGCTGAGAGTGCCCCTCAAAATCCGTTAGTTCATGAATAAGTTCAATTTGAAGTGCGAGCTAATTGAAAGTAAAAGCTAAGAATACTGGGTACACTCCCTGAGGAATTGAGAACGTGATCATCATTTCAGAAACACTGCGGACGCTTAGAAAGGCAAAGTAGTGCAGGAATGTCGCAGAAACCATGAGTTGAGAGAGAGAGAGAGCCAAACATTGTAGGTTCTACACTCGAAGGAACGACTTTATCAGCTAATGTAAGTAACAATGATGTAGTGTAACAGAAAAAGAGTACAGGACAGGTTCCTGTGGAGTCTCCCTCTGCACTAGCGATAACAAGTAAATACACCGGTTTTTTCTTTTTGCTGGAAGGTGAGAGGGCGTTGATCATGTTTTGAGGCTGACCACATAGTTAATTGAGCGGATAAGCCAAATAAAAAACACAATTCACCATTTCTCCTTTCAATGGGTTGCCCACACGATGGCAATAACCGGCGACAGCAGAACATCGATAGCTGCCGCCTATACCCCGTTGCGAGGATGAATTCGGATAAACCATCTTAGCATTTCAAGGAGGGATAAACCTTGGACGCTGTGATCACTGATAATCACTGAGCTGCTCACTTGCCTCGGGTGAAAAACATTACAACTGAAGTGAAGGACAGTAGTAGAAACTCGGTAGGCTCAACACAGCTGTTATGATAATTTTTCAGTTCAAATTCAACGTCCTTTTCTAATTCCCTCGACCCGCAGCTTACGACGCCCCGTACCACAGGACTGTTAGAACCTTCCGGATGTAGTTCGTAACATACAAGGCAAGGCATCGCTCGAGCCAGCATTTCCAGTCAGGTGATCCGACACTACACTTTAGCATCAATCCAAACGAATCATGATGGTCCACGAACAGCTTAAAGGCAGCTGTTACGATAAATCCCCCAAAACGAGTAGGATTAATACGCCTGGCAGGACGGAATTCCGCGACCCTGAGCAGGCGCTGCATAATGCCTTTTCCAAGGAGGTGCCCTTATAAGGGCCCTATCAAGCCACAACATACGACCCCACACGCCCGCACGCCCGCCCACTCACAGCATGAGACGTTCTGGAGCCCTAATGTCATTTGCAAAGCATAATTATGAGCGAAAGGATTCGGTTATGAGCGACTGCGGTGCTGCATGGATATGCTTTCATTTTATAGACCAGTACTTTGTGTGCCGGTTTGTATGTATGTAAGTATGCATGTAGGTATGTATGTCTGTCCGTCCGCAAAATGCTTCACGGGCTTAAATTAGTGGAAGATGCTAACCTTTCTGTTTTTCTCTGTGCTCTCACATTTGCACGCACTCTATGACCACTGAAATTAAACATTCTAACTTTTCACCCATGATAAGTGACTCATCAACCTCGGAGTCCCCAACACTGGGCCCTTGAAGATAAACTACACGCTTGCCTCCGACGACGGTCCTCTGCACGTGCGAAGTGAACGAGTTAGCACTCGTACTGGCGTGCCACCTTCTTCGCACAATGTGCATGGCGAACTGCAGGGTGGGCGTGGGGTAGTGAGACCGGGTGCCATCTCCAGGTCTGATTGTGCAATCCTTGCTATCTTCGAAATGCAGCTCCTCGACACCAAAACTCCGCAGTGAAACTCGTTCGGCCATGGGTAGGCGTGTGGCTGGCAATGCAGCGGCGCGGGTGAAGTATGAAGACGGCAACCGGGTATCACTATCGGTATCCCCTCATCCCCATCCCCGTGCAATTTTGAGCGGAGAAAATGGTACGTTATTGTTATCTTCATTCAGCACATATCAAGGACCAGGATCCTCGAAGGTGAGGGTGCAGTTTGTCTTCAAGCTCTAAGTTAGTTCTCTAGCTTGAATTGTAGTTTTATTAGTGTTTGAAAAATGCCGTAATGAGCTTCAGCTCCGAGAATACACCTGAGAAGCACCTTGTTCAACACAGTTCCTAACATCTTACTTACTGCTGTGATAAACAGTTAAAGAATCA